TTAGTATTGCTGCAGGTTGCGCGGCCTGCGAGGGGCGGGTGTGTGGGGGGGAGGGGGCGAGGTCAAAGAACAAAGTGAGGGAGGAGGGGCCGGGACGAGGAGAGGGAAGGGAGGCCAGCGGGGGGGCGGATGGAAGCTGAGAAGCGGAGCGGGCAGCCGGCGTACCGCGCCGCGCCGGCCAGCCTGCCACGCTCCCCTCCACGCCCCCAACCCACTACCAACACACACCTTGCCACACCACCACCACTCCACCAACGCGACGCACCTGGGGGGACGGGGGTACTTGAAGGTGTACTTCTTGTCCTCCTCAATAACTCCGGGCAGGCCGGGCCCACCAGGCGGCTCGTAGTACACACCGTTGAACTGGATCTCGTTCCATTCCTGCGGGACGGGCGGTACGGGCGACACGCGCAGGCGGTACGGGCGTCACGCGACGGCGTTTTCCGTCGAGATCAGGCGTGTGGTGCAGCGCACGGCGCCGGGCTGGCCCTGCCAGACGGCAAGGCGGTGGCCTGCCAGCCCAGTACCTAGCCTCGCGCCTCAGCCGGCGGCAGCGGCGGCTGCCCTGCGCTCTGCCGCTGCCGTGCTGCTCTCTTTCCCAGCCCTGCCCTGCCCAGCCCCGCCCCCTTCTCCTGCACCCACCTGCGTGGCCCACTTGATCCAGGCGGGGATGCGCTCCACCCACTCGCCATACCCAGTCTCCAGCCGCGTCTTGATCTTGGTGCTGTGGGAAGGGGCAGGTGGGTGGGGCGCGCAGGCGGTGTTGGGGCAGGGGAGAGAGGGGGAGGGGGAAGGGGCTGGTGGTGGTGCCGGGGCAGGAGCCAGCACGCTTGGGGCTGCAGCCACACACAGTCACATCCAGCTGGGCAGGCCTGGCCGCGCGGTGGACCCTCGCCCCTCCCCAAACCGGCGCCGCACCCCACTCGCTTACACTTGCTGGCGGGGCCGCCCGTCAGCTCCTGCCACACCCCACCACACACACACACATGCACATGCGCCGCCGCCTTGCACACAGCGACCCCAACGCACCGGTGCTTGATGGCGGGGGTGCCGTCGGGGGCGTCAGGCAGAAACAGGTTCCACACGCCAAAGTCGTTCTTCAGCGCCCAGTGCTCCGTCTTGGGCTCCCAGTTGTTAAACTCTCCAATCAGCGCCACAGCCTGCGGGCGGCGCCAAAACCAGCAACGCGCACGTGAGCCGCAGCGGGCTGGAGGGGCACGAGGTGGGCGGCGCCAAGCCAGCAGCGGCGGCGGCAGCGGAGACGACCCCCTCGGCAGCCGGAGCGGCCACACAATACCACAAGAGGAGGCGCGGCGGCGCCGGCGGGGGTGCACAGCCACCGGCACCAGCCAGCAGCAAGCCAGCAAGGCAGCCGGGGCGCATGGGTGGCGCCTGTCCTGCCCGGCTGCGCTTTGCGCGCCGCACCTTGGCGCCGGGGGCCCACTCGCGGTACCAGATGCCCTTCTTGCCCTCATGCTCGCCGCGGTTCAGCCCGTAGAACTTGTAGCCTGGGGAGGGAGGGTGGGTGGGCGGGGATGCGGATAGTTGAGAGCAGGGCGGGCCAGGTTTGTGGCACGGTGCGCGGGCAATGCACAATGTGCTGAGCATGCCAGCTGCCAGCGGTGCTCCCAACAGGCCCCGGCACACACCCTGGGTGAACTGCTCCATGCCTCCCTCGTTCTGCTCAATGGCGGAGCGGATGGACTTGAACACGTGCCAGCGGTACTGCAGGTGTACAGCGGTACAGGCAGCACCGTGTCAGCGTGCAGGTCCTGCCCTCCACGGCCGGCTCGCCCAGCTGTCGGCGCCGCTGCACAGCGTTCTGCCGGGTTGCACCATAATGTGGTGTATCCGCCCATGACTGTACAGCAGCTGTACCGTAGTTGTACCGCACTGCATTGCCTCCCACCTTGAAGTGGTCTGCATGGCTCCACAGGGAGGGGTCCCACTTGAGGCACTCGGTGCCATCGTGGTCGGGGATGGGGGAAGGCAGGCCGTACTGCTCCACCCAGGCCTGGCCCTCGGGTACTGCAGGCAGTACATGTGGTACATGCAGTACGATGCACGGTGAGCCGGGCAGGGTCGGGCCGGGGCGGGAGGCGGGCGTTTGGCGCCCCGGCTGCACAGTGCGCTGTCGCGCCGCGCCGGGAGCTGCAGAGGCGGGGTGTTGCGGGCCGAGAGGCCGCCAGCAGGCCGTGACCCCTTGGCTGGCCTGCCCCTGGCTCAGCCGCCCATCAGGAGCGGCAGCAGGAGCAGCAGCAGCAACAGGGGGAGTGGGCACGGAGGCTCGCCCGCCAGGCTTGCTGCGCACCTGTGACGGCTGGTGACCAAAAGTCCTCAGGTGTGATACCAGCCAAGGCGCCGCCGCCAGCAAAGCGGTCCATGGGCATCGGCGGCACCTCCACCCCTGCAGAGGTCAGCTGCGTCTCCAAATTACTCACTGCACACTCGCGGGGGGGCAGGGGCGGGGCGCGAGCAGCGACAGCGGCGGGTGAGGTGGGCGCGGCAGCGGGGAGGCAGCGGGGGGTGGTGTGGGCGCGGCTGCGGGGGCTTGGCTGGGCTTGCGGGGCTGCTGGTGGGCCGGCAGCTGGCAGCTCGAGGACGCCATGGCAAACCGCAGCGGCAGCAGCAGCAGACCAGAGGGCAGCAGCAGCAAAACGGCGGCAGCAGCAGCAGCATGCCGACGCTGCACCCTCGAGCGCGCTGCAGGGCAGCCCACTGGGCCACATGAGGCATGCCACGCAGCTTGTGCCGCAGCGCCACCCCGGCGAGCCACACAGCTGCTGCCCGCTGGCTGTCCCAGGCTCTGTAGCACTCCCATAGAGTTGCCAGCAGTGAGTTGCACGCCCAGCGGCGGTTGCAGCAGCAGCGCTCCACCCGGGCTTGCCTGCGACCTCTGCCGACGAGATGGTCTGCTTCAGCAGCTCGTTCTCCTTGCGTAGCACATCCAGGGGTGTCTCCCCAATCTCAGCGCGCACCGGCAGCGGCCCACGAGTCGCAGGGCGAGCTGCTGCAAGCAGGCGGCGGCGGGGCGGCGCAGCGCCCGGCAAGCTTCAACAGCAGGCCGCTTTGGCGCCGCCCAGCTGACACATTTGCGGCGCACATGAGCCTGGAGCGGCCGGCCGGGGCGCACGCAGTTCCAGGGCGCCCCCAGCCGTGGCTGAAGCAGATGGCAGGGAACCTACCCAGCTTGTGGTGCTGGGGGGCCGTCGATCGCAGCGCCGCTCTGCTGCTGAGACTCTGGGCCTGCTGCATCAGGGCCGCTGTCTGCATACTGCTGCCGCTTGTCGCCCAGACGCCGATCGGGGGGGAGGCTTGGGAGTCAAGGCAGGGTTCTGGGGCCCGTTGAACCGCCAAAAGTCGGGATTGGGCCTGCGAGAACCGTCTCAGTCCCGCAAAGGGTGCTCGGAAAGCCGCAAGCGCGAGGCTGCGGGGAGGGAGAGGTGGAGCCTTGGCGGAGGGGGGGGTGGCCGGTAGCACCACAGAACTCAATCAGCCGGGCCGGGGTGCCAGGGATGGGCCCGTTTGTGCCCAGCGTGCTGTGCTTCGCTCAGACTGCATCAGCCTCGCCCACCTGGAGTTTGCTATCGGCAGCGCAGGGCGAATGCACGCTGGGGATTGGCTGCAGCTCGAATGATCACAATTGCGCCCAGCAAAATCGGGCGAGGGCCAGCAGGGGTGCAGAGCAGGCTGGCAGCGGCGGCAGGCACGCCGCCGCCGCCGCGACTACTACCGGCGACAGCCACAAGCACACAAGCCCAGCATCGGGGCACCCACCGCCCTCAGTCCAGGCCTGCCAGCTGCTCTTCCCCCTCCTCCTCCTCCTCCACCAGCCGCTGCAGCTTGCCGCCCTTGCGCCCCTCACCCGCGCCGCGCCCCGCTGCCGCCGCTCCAGCCGCCGCCGCTCCAGCCGCCGCCGCCGCCGCTCCGCCGCCGCCGCCGCCGCTGCCGCCCTGCTGCAGGTCGGCCCTCAGCCGCTCCATCTCAGCTGCCTGCCGCTGCCGCTCCAGCTGCTGTCGCTCGCCCTGGCGGCGCAGCAGGTCGGGCTTGTACTGCTCATCGTACTCTGCAGCACACTGCCCCACCGCCGCAATAAAGTCGTCCATGCCCTCGCCTACACACACACCAGCCAGCTGGGGAGCGGCGAGGGCTTGGCGGCAGCAGCGGCGCCACGCCAGCAATGCAGGAAATCAACGCCAGCCGAGAGGCCTGCCGCCCCAGCCGAGTAGCACGCACAATGCCTGCGCCATAGGCCTGTCCTGCCCAGCCGATGCCACAAGCTCCCCGCGTCCCACCTGTCACCGCAGACACCCCCACCGCCCGCATGTTCTGGTAAAACTGCTCCAGCACCAGGCTCATGCTGCGGCTCAGCGTGGCCGCGTAGCTCTGCTCGCTGTCCAGCGCCTGCGCGGGGCAGCCAGAGGATTTGGGAAGGGAAGGGAAGCGGGTGACAAGCCACATCTCGTGGCCACTCCCCCCCCCCCCGACACACACACACACACACACACACAGTCGCGGAGCCCTATGCGCCGACCGCACCTGGTGGAAGGCCTCAAAGTCCGCCATCCACTCCAGGCAGGCCTCGTGGCGGGCCACATCCACCTTGTTAAATACCAGCAGCACCGGCAGGCGGCTCTTGTACAAGATGCTGCAGGCCTGCGGGGAGGGGTGGAACAGGAGGGGGCGTCGGCGGGCCATGCGCTGCAGGCCTGCGGGAGGCGTGGGCAGGAGGGGACGTGGGCGGGCGGAGCGTGGACTGCCCGGGGTGCCTCGGGCCTGCGGGGGCTTGGTCGGGCGCGACCAGGGCGGTGGCGCACGCACAGGCGCGCTCTGCACGGAATGCTGCACCGCCACCGCCGCCACCTTGCGGATACCCACCAGCTGCCCAGGCGCAGCCCGCCGCCAGACCCCTGCGCTCAGCGCCGCAGCCGGAGCCCCTCCCCAGCCGGCGCCCCACCTGCAGCATGTTGGTCATGAAGGTCTGGGGCCCCAGGCAGCGGGGGGTGTCGATCACGTATGCAATCATGGTGGGGAAGGTGGAGGCAAAGGCCTGCAGGCGCGGCCAGGGGCGCAGCAGGCACAGCAGGCACAGCAGGCACGTCGGTGCGCGGGTGCCAGCCCACAGCGCTATAGACGCCGGCCGGGGCCACCGAGCGGCGCGCGGGGCAGCAAACGCAAGACACGCCGGCATGCCTGCCGCAGCTGACATGCGCTCAGGCACCGGCCACGCCAGCCAGCCACCAAGCCAGCCAGCAGCAGCCAGCCGGCAGCGGCAATGGCGCAGGGCCGCCCGCACCTCTGTAATGATGGCGCCTGAAGCCGACCAAGTGAAGATCTCGATCTGCCCGGGGGTGTCCGCCACAATGTACCGTAGCGCCGGCTGCCGCGGCTTCTCGCAGAGGGTCACCACCTGCCCGCCAGGCGGGCGGGGCGCGCGGCGCAGCAGGGCTCAGCAGCTTGCTCGGACGGCACTGCGTGCATGCATGCATGCAGCTGCCAGCCAGCCGCGGCCATCCCCCAGGCCCGGGCAGCTCCCGGAGTGGCCCGCCGAGGCCGCCACCCTCCCCAGCGCCCCCACCTGGTCAAAGCGGGTGGCAAAGAGGTTGAGGGAGGTGAGGATGGCGCCGTTGGGACCCAGGCCGTACTGCTTCATCACATTCTTGTAGTTCACCGTGTCCCGGATGTCCACGTGGGCGCCATAGGGCAGGTGGGTGACCTGGGGAGGCCGAAAAGCAACAAAGCAGACGACCCGTCACGTGGGCGCCACGTCAGCGGCGGCAGTTTAGCCCTAAAAACCCTCCTTGCATGCCGTCTGGGCGTGGCACCGGCGCACAGGCATGCAAGACGGCTGTGGCGGAAGCAGCCCGTTCCCCAGCTTCCATTCCACACATTCACGGCTGTGCTGCCAGCTGTCCCGCTGCCAGCTCACCGCCGGGTCCAGATTGGTGATGTAGCCCGGCTGCTGCCGTTCGTGCAGGTGCGCATTCAGGCACTGCATGAAGGTGGTCTTGCCAGAGCCAGCCATGCCTGCATGAGGCGGAGGCCAGACTGGTGGGCGAGGGCAGGCGGAGAGGCGGGCTCGGCAAGTGTGCCGCCACCGGCGCGGCCCGCCATGCCATGCGGCACCCAAGCAGACAGCCGCGGGCGCAGCGGGCGCACCTATGACCAGGATCACCGTCGGCTTGGGCTCCTGGGCCTGCGGCGGCTCCTGGATGTTCAGGTTTTGCATGCCCCTGCCCGCCTCCTCCGCCATATTGCCAAGAAACTGTCTGGGTTGCGGGTATGATTGCGCTGCACTGTGCGACAAAGAATGCAGTGGCAGACAGCCGGGGAAAATGAGCAGCGCCTCGCGCCCTTTCTTTTCCCCATTTCTCGGCGATCAGGCGCTCTGGGCAGCCCAAGTGATCCGCAGCAGTTGCAGCCCATTGGAAACTGCAGCCCGCGTGCCCCATCGCTTCCCTCGCTTTTCATCACTGCCACCCCCACTCTATCCCGCACCTAGAAGCTGCCACGCCGCTTGTAGATCCATCCAGCCCGCCCCGCCGAATCGACGGCAGACCGACAGCGCCCACGCGCAGCCCCCACCGCCCTCCCGCCGCCACCGCCGCCATGGCCGACTCTCCACCGCGCCGCCTGCCCATCTCCTTTGGCACCGTCACAGACAAGAATATTGAGCAGCTCAAGGTCGGGCAGCATGAAGTGACTGTCAGACCTGCAAGGCATCTCACCAAAGTGCCGTGCATGGGACTAGCAGCAGCAGGCATGCCGCAGGCAGCCCCGTGATCCCCCGCTGCGCCGCCGCCGGCCCCCTGCTGCAGCTGCTCAACCGCGCCGTCTTTCCAATCAGCTACCCCGAGCGCATGTACAAGGACATCCTGGTGCGGCGGGGAGGGGCTTGGCTGGATGCCAGCGGCAGCCCGCAGCAGGAACGCTGCCGTTCCGCGGGCGTGCCTGTGCCCCTGCCGAACACACAGTGCCTGGCGCCTGCTGTGCCTGCTGCGTTTCCTCGACCGCCGCATGAGCGGTACCACCCCCCGCTGGCTTCCCCCCTGCAGGCCTACACCGATGTGACGCACCTGGCTTACCACAACGATGTGCTGGTGGGCGCCATCACCTGCCGCCTGGAGAAGTCGGCGCAGGTGGGCGGCGGCCGGGCATGCTGGCAGGGCACTCTGCATCTGTCGGGTATGCCCTTGCGCAATGGTTGTAGGGAGGGACACCTGGCCGCTTGCATGGGTGCATGCCGTGCAACTGGGCACGCTGGCACCTGGCAATGGCCGGCAGCTGGGCAGAGCAGGCATGGCACGAGGCGGCGGGAGAGCAGGAGGAGGGGCGCAGGCAGGAGAACGCTGTGGGAAACACTGTGGGGTCCCCACAGTACACCAGCGCACCCTCCTGTACCGCTGCTCCTGTACCACAGGGTCCCAAGCTGTACATCCTCACGCTGGGCGTGCTGGCGCCGTACCGTGGCATGGGCGCCGGCAGCGCGCTGCTGGAGCGCTGCCTGCAGCACTGCGCAGCCCAGCTGCCCGAGGTGGCAGAGGCGCTGCTGCATGTGCAGGTGGGACCTCCCGCCTGGGGCGGGGCTGCGCCGGGCTGGGCAGGGGCAGGCATTTAGGCTTTCTGCAGTGCCGGCTGCGAGGTGGTGTTGTGGGACCGTTGCCGTGGTGGGAGGCGGCCGATGCCTGCTGCTCTCCTAATTCCACTGGAGCACACCGCCGCTCCCGCCCTGTTCCCCTGCCTTGCTGCCTTGCTGCCGCTGCAGACGAGCAACGAGGAGGCGATGCGGTTCTATGGGCGGTACGGATTCGAGGTGGGGGAGACAATACCGGGGTACTACAAGCGCCTGGACCCACCCGATGCGGTGGTACTGCGCAAGGCGCTGCAACCCGGCGGCGGAGGCGGCGGCGGCAGCTCAGACCCCAATGGCCCGCCTGCCTAGCTGGGCCGTGCAGCCGTTTTTTTCCCCCGCCTAGTTCGATGCAGCGCTGCCTGCTGAGAAGTGGTGCAACACATACGCGGAGGTTGAGGAGAACTTACAACTTTCAAGTTTGCAAATTTCTCCAGCAATGTGCCGGTTTTCTTGGATGTGCGAGGAAGCGACAGTTGGGAAGTGATGGGGTGACGGGTCAGTTCGGCGGCAGCAAAAACAGCATGGCAGCGCCAGCGCGGCAACGGAAAGCAAAACGACAGCACAGCGGCTGGCAAAGTACAACGAGAATCAGCTGGCAGGGCCTCTAAGAAATGGCACTGTTGGTGTGTGCCCCCACGGAGCCGCACACACATGTGGCGCCGTCATGCACTGACGGCCCCCACGGCCAGATCGAAGCCGACGGCCCCCGAGAAGGCCTTGCAGGCCACCACATCCAGCACAACCTCGTACGGGCGCCCCATGGTGATCTTGTCGTTGGACAGGCTGTTGTCGGTGACGCCGTCACCGCCAGCTTCCCGCCGATGCACTTTGAGCCGACCTGCACGTGTGCGGTACCACGGAAGGCGATGATTGAGTGGAGTGGAGTGCTGAGGCAATGCAATGAGGAGAGAGGTGTGGAGGGGCAGTGGTGCCTCGCGGCTGCCGGGCAGCTGCCCCTGCCCCAGCCCCTCACCCCTGGTATGTTGAAGAAGAGCTGGTCGCCACCCACAGCCAGCTGATGGTACCTGCAGTACAATGTGGTGGTGGTGCAAAGTCGTGAGGGGCAGTACATGAATAGTGAGACCAGGAGGCCAGCCGACAGTGCCTGGCACCACACGGCAGCGAGGTGGCAGCTCACGACATCGGCCAGGCAGGCAGGGGAGCGGTGTGCGACTCCGCAGCGCCAGCGGCGGCACGGCGGCACAGCAGTACGGCGGTCGCGCTCACAGGTAGTACTGCCGCGTCTCCCCCGCCTTCCAGCTCCTGGCGGGCACCTGCAGCTTGACCCGGTTCTGCCAGGGGGTGACCACCAGCCGGTTCTGCTGAAGGAAGGCCGCCCGAGAGTTGGTGGCTGCCGCTAGGACGTGCACTTTTGCGGTCTTGGCACCAGGGCCCTCGAAAATGATTGTATTCCAGTCGAACTGCGGCAGCGGGCGGGTGCAGGGGGACAGGCAGGCAGGCGCGACGCGGTCAGGCCTGGCGGCGGGCGCCACACCGCCGGCGCACTCCACAGCTCGCAGCCACCCGCCCCGCACACGGCGCCCCCTGCCGCGCACCAGCTGCGGCTCGGTAGCCCTCTTCCCGGCCCCAAACCCACTCCCTCCCGCGGGGCTACACACACACACACACAGGCACACACAGGCACACACAGGTCACACCTCCCGATATGCCAGCTGCCCCTCCTTGAAGCCCTTGAAGCCGAGGGGGAGTCCCACCCGCAGCTCGCTGTCCCACATGCCGGCGTCAACGATGCGGCCGCTTGCGGGGAGCTCGTCCAGCCGGCCCACCTGCGGGCGGCAGGAACCAAAGAAAAGAGGGAGAGTGGCAGGAAGGGAGATAAGGAGGGAGGGAGGAGATACTGAAGGAGGGATGAAGGAAGTGGGGATGAGCTTCTTGTGTGGGCCTGGGTGGAAGCAAGGGCTGCCGGAACCCAACCCGCCGGCAGGCGGGACGCTGGGCCTGGGCTGCCCGCCGACGGCTTCCCGGCAGCTGCCCCACCTTGTAGTGCTGGAAAGCCAGCTTCTTGTCTGGGTAGTTGCTGCGCACCACGGCAAAGCCCTTGGCCTTGGGGGAGGGGGTGACTGCGGGCAGGGGGCGGGGCGATGTGTGCACGCGTGCGTCCAGGTATGCGAGCGTGTGCTTGGGTGCACACCTATGCCCAGTGTGGAGTGGTGGGGTGAGAGCGGGCAGGCAAACGTGTGCCTGCTGGTGGTGGGCGCGCAAGAGGCGCCGCCAGCTGGTACTGCCGCCAGCCGGCACTGCCGCCAGCCTCCCCGCCCTCCACCCCCGCCCTGCCACCCCGGCCCCCGTGCCTCGCCTGTGCCTATGGCCACCCCCGAATGGTCCCAGTAGGGCGGCCTCTTCGTGTTGACTGCCTGCATCAGCACCACCTGCAGCACACGCAGGCCACCCAGGGCAGGCAGGCAGGTGAGGCGGGATGCTCGGGCAGGCAGGCGGCCGAGGTGCCTGGGGAGGGTACCTGCGAAAGCGATTAGGGTTGATGGCGCTGCCGCCGGCGCACGGCATGCCACTCTGCCAGCGCAACGCCCGCCTTCCTTCCCAACCCACCTGCTTGCCCACCCCCACAGTGTCCACATACCGCTCCCCCTCAATATAGAACCCCTGCCTGCAGCCGGGGCAGCACGCCATGCACGACAAGCGGGCGGGGTGGGTGGGCGCACAGGGTCCCACGCAGGCAGCCGAAGGAAGGCGAGCAGGCAGCAGCCAGGCACGCAACCGGGCGCGCAGGCGGGCACGCAGGCAGGCAGGTGTGTGGGCGGGCGGGGCGCTCACATGACGTATCTGCCGGCGTCGGGGGTGGTCACCAGCACACCCGTCTCGCAGTTGCGAATGGTGCCAAACTTCACCTGCGTTGGGCAACAGGGGGGTCGGCAGACTGCGGGCATGCCGCCGACTGGGAGCCTCCCACCGCCTGCCGCCGCCACCGCCACCACCTCCACCTCCACCGGCAGGGCCACCACCCACCAGCAGCAACTACAGCACCCACAGCACCCACAGCATGCACAGCATGCACAGCATGCACAGCATGCACAGCATGCACCACAGCATGCAGACCTGCGTGGAGTCCCCGTTGAACCAGATGCCCGCCTTGCAGGGCTTCCCGGCGACGGGCTGGATGAGGGGGATGTATGCATCGGTCTGCGGGGGGCAGGGGGTGGTGTGTGGCGTCCGCAGCAGGGCGAAGGCCGCCTCCCCAACCTAAACACCAGCCACACACACACACACACACTCCTGCCTCCCAATCCTGAGACACCAGGCAGGCACACATACACAACGCCACGCCACACACACACGCACACACTGCCACACCACACACCTGCCCCACGTCGCTGAACTTGACGGCGGTGTGGAAGCCGGTGAAGGTGGGGAGGCGGTCGGGGCGCAGGTGACCCTGCGCCTCATACTCCATGCCCACCAGTCCCTTCTTGGTCGCCACCAGCTCCGCGCCTGCGCAGGCGAGGGCAGGGGCAGGCGCCTGGGCCACACAGCCGGCACAGAGTGCGGAGCGCGCGCCGCGGGGCGCGCCGTCGAAAGCCAGCACTCCAGGCAGCACCGCCGCCGCCAAGCAGCAGCAGTACCATCACCACTACAGCGCTACAGCAGTACCACGGTCCCCACTCCGCCCAGACCACACCCACCTGGCAGGCTGAACACGCGCATGCCCTGCCCCTTCTTCAGCGTGGTACCGACAGCGTACCGCTTGGCCCCAAACACAGCCTCCAGGTTGCTGTCGTTGGCGACCTACACGCATATATGCCCGGGTGCCGCGAAACATGCGCTGGGCCAGATGCCGCGCTGCACAGGCGCAGGATGCAGCCCCCGGGCAGGGCCCCCAGCGCAGGGGGCAGCCTGGGGCAGCGGGTGCTGGGGGCCCGGGGCAGCGGGCGATGGCGGCGGGCTGGGCAGGGCCGGCAGGCAGGGCAGGCGGGGCAGGGAGGGCAGGGCAGGCAGGGCTAGCCCACCTGCAGCGCCCAGTTTATGGCGCGAGCGTCGTCGCCGAGGCCGGTGCCCCTGGCGCCTGCAGCATCAGGGGCGGGAGGGCCGTGTGAGCGCTGCGCAGGGCAGGCATGTCTGTGGGCTGGAATCAGTACACTCCGGCTGCAGGCCAGGTGCGGGCAAGAAGCAAAGCCGCGGCAATCCGCCACCCAGCGGCAGCAGGCCGGCGGCACGTGGCGCGGCAGGCGGCCACCCACGACCAACGAGCAGGCGGCACCAGCAAGCAGCGCCAGCGCAACAGCGAGGACAGGCAGAGAGCGGCTGGACGGCACGGGCTGCAGGAAGGGTGCAGGAGGAAGGGAGGGCGGGCCCAGCGATGCCGCCGCCGCTCACCAAACCAGTCGACCAGCAGGGCGGGCTGCTGCCGCGACATCGCCACCCGACCTTCCCCCTCAAAGATTGGGTGGTCTCCAGCCGTGAGCGGCTCCTGAAAGGAAAGCGTGGCGCCTGCGCGGGCGGCAGCGGCGGCGCCGCAGCGTCAGGGCGCGCGGTCTGCGGCGCGCCAGCGGTGCTCCCAGAAGGGCGGCCGGCGCCTCCTTCTCCAAGCCCCGTCCCCATCACCACGTCGCCCAACACACGCACATTCCCACAACCCTTGCAGATGCTGCACCGTCTGTGGAACAACACGTCTGTGGAACAACACGTCTGTGGAACATCACGCCATCCATCCACCCCCCTACACACACCGCTATCACCCCGGCCACACCTCTCAGCACCCTCAGCACGCCGCCCGCCTGGAAAGCCACGGGCTTGCGCAGGTGCAGCGAGGCGCTAACGGTGTAGGTGCCGCGGGAGACGAACAGCACACCCGGCCCCGTGTAGGGGCTGTCCAGCTGGGCAAGCGCGTCGGTGATGTCGGTGCCGGGGTTGGCGCCCAGGGCGTCCAGGGTCAGCTGCAGAGGTGTGGAGGTGGGGAAGGGAGGTGTGGGGTTGGTTTTTGGGCGCGAGGGCAAGAGAGGAAGAGGGCGGGCCGGGGCGGAGGGCGCGCCGGACGGGTTCATCAAGCACCGCAAGGGGAGCCATGCGTGCCTCTGCTGCTGCCGCTCGAAGTGCGTGTGTGCACATGCAGGCAGAGGCAGAGCAGCAGGGCATTGCAAGCGGGGAGGGAGGTTCGGGTGAGGCCACAGCGCCCTGCGCGGCGCCCTGCCGCCGCCCACCCACCTGCGGGCATTGGAGCGCCTGGGGATATCTGTAGGTGAACGCAACCGTCTCTCCCCCGCCGAAAGCGTGCGTGTTCACACACCCGCACAGCAGCAAGAGTGCAGCAAAGGCAGTGAACATGTGCGGCGTGGTCCTGACAGCCCCCTGCCCCTTGAGAACGCGAGCAAACGTGAAACGGCACTGGGTGCGGCGAATGTTCGATTCCGGTGACAAGGGCCGCGGTTGCGGCCGGAGGGGGGTGAGGTGGACTAGCGCACTTCGTCCACGGCGAACCACGTCCCCCTCACCTCGTCACTGCTTGACGACACCATCTACCCGTTTGTGGGTTGGGTGTACACCTGCAGGGCGCACGGCATGTCGCCCAAGGGCGTCCCAGCGCTCTGGGCTCTCCTGCTGGGGCTGCTGGTGGCCGCAGTGAGTGGGGCAAACCTGCGTGGAACCACCGCCGCCGACCAGCGGGGGCAGGGTGCTACCTCGCCTGCAGCTGCCGTCACCGCCGTGCGACGGGCGTGTCCTGCTCCTGCCCCACCTGCCTGCCTGCAGGCAGCCACGCCGGATTTACTAAGCTCCACCGCCTCGACGTTCCCTCGCCACCGTCAGCTGCTGCAAGACGTGAGCAGCCGTGCCGCGCATCCCTGTGTCTCCCCACTCTTCTCCGCTCCGTGCCCAGCAGCCGTGCCGCCGCCCCACCCCTTGCCCCCTCTGCAGGCAGCCGTGCGCGTGGCGGCGGCGGCGCAGCCCTCGGGCCCCACCTGTGGCGTCCAGTCTGCCAGCCGCTTCAACCTTCCGCAGGTGCTGGGCCCGCGGGGCGTGCTCTCAGACAGCTCCCAAGACCTGGAGCTGGCTGACGCCGATGATGCCAGCGGTGGGTGGCATGGCTGGCAGCGCACCCCATGCAACACGGCTAGGGGGGGCAGACGCAGCGCAGCATGGGAGCCCTGGACTCGGCAGCCGTGCAGGCGGCGGGCTGCAGGCCTGCAGGTGCCCCTCCCAGGGCTCCCACGCCGCCGCTGCAGCCCGCCCGCTGCGCCCGCTGTGCCTCTGGCAGGGCACCCCACCCGCCCACCCCCAGCGCCCGCCCTCCCCGCCTTCTCCTCACCGTACCCTCCGCCCTGCTCCACCCTCTGCAGACGTTATATACGTGGATGTGTGGGAGGGGGAAGTGTCCGGGGCGCCGCGGCAGAGCCAGCGCACGGTGCTGGTGGAAAGGACCGTCCAGCTCAGCAAGCCGCTCGTGCTCAGCGGGCTTGTGGAGGTGGAGGTGGGGCCCGGCGCGGAGCTGCGCCTGGCGGCGCAGCCCTTCCTCCCCGACCGGCAGGTGCGGCGGTACGGCGGTACAGCGAGCTGTGCGGCAGCTGCGTGGTGTCGGTGGGAGGCGGTGGTTCCAGACTCGTGGCAGTTTCGGGCAGCGTGTGTGGTGGGTGGGTGGCTGGGGTGGATGGGCCAGCGGGTGCGGGCGGAGGCAGCGGCCAGCCTGGGAGGGCGGGCAACGGCCAAGCAGCGCTCTGCGGTGGTTTCGGCGGCGCCCACGGCGTGCCAGGTGCTGTGCCGGGCCTTCTGGGCAGCTGCGCCCATCCCAGCTGCGCCCCCGGCTGCCCCGCAGGTGCTTTCGGGGGTCGGCAGCGTGAGGTTTGTGGCTGGGGCTGTGGATGAGTTCCTGGTGCGGCCCGAGTGGTTCGTCGGCGGCACCGCCAGCGACAGGTGCGCCCAGCCTGCAGACACACACACACACACACACACACACACACAGCACCCAGCATGCTCCACTGCCGCCACCACGCCAACCACGCACCCCACCTCACCACACACACCTCCTTTCCACACCACCCCTGCAGGTTTGACCAGGTCAACCTGGCCTGCTCCGGCCCCGGCGTGCGGTGCCTGGTCGTGCTTTCCACCCGCGACTACAAGCTCGCCCGCCCCTGGCGCATCGGGCCCAACATCCGCATTTGGGGGGGTGCTACCGCCATCTTCAAGCCAGACGGCGGCAACACAGCAGGCATCATCGTGGGCAGTGGAGAGTATGACCCCACCAGGTGGGCCCCGCCAGCCTGGCATCGCCGGCGGGGACAGCAGCGCTGCCTGCGTGCTGCTTGTGTGGGCTTGCAGTCTGGTTTCAGCAAGAGCAGCTTGCAGCTCGGACTTTGTTTGGGGTTTGTTTTAACCCTAAACCCTACTCGTCCTGCCCCTGCAGGCGCATGGATCTGCCGCGCATGTGGCTCTTTGGGGAGTATGCCATCAAGATAGAGGGTGCGCCCTGCCCGCCTGCCTGGCTGGCTGCCTGCGCCCGCTGCCGCCTGCTGCTTGCTCGCATGGGGCTGCTCCCCACTCTGGCCCCCGCATCTGCAGCCCATGGGCCAGTCGGCCACCCGCCAGCCCCCCACCCCGCCCTAGCGCCCCTGTACCGCCTGCAGATGTGTCCGGGCTGTGGCTGTACTGCAACAACATGGTGCAGAACAGGGTGGGTGGCCCGCTGTACCGCAGTACCGCTGTACCGCTGCACTGCTGCCGCGCCGATGCTCCCAGCCTGCCTCCTTCCAGCTTCCCACAGCTGGCAGGCATAAACTTGCCCTGCGCTCCTCATGATCATTGCCGCGTCTGCTGTGCTTCCCTGCTTTCTTTCTGTCCAGGTGGGCGTGCTGCTGGCCCCGCGGAGGGCCATCCGCGACACCCTCATCGAGGCCCCCTCCACCGCCCTCTCCAACAACATCTTCACTGTGGAGCCCGCCGCCGCTGGCGCCTCCCTGGTCAACGTACACCTCAAGTGCGCCGGGCGACGGCAGCGGTGTGGGGTGGGGTGATGGCGGTATGGGGTGGGGTGGTGGCGGTGTGGAGTGGCGGTGTGGGGTGGGGTGATGGCGGCGTGGGGTGGGGGATGCCCGCCTTCCTGCCCCGGTTGCCACCCCGCCACCGGCATGCACACACGCCGCCCCTCCTACCCCCCAACCCCCCACAACACATCGACACCAACTC